ACTAAAAATTTCATAGCAAATGTGACACATAGCAACAAGAAGGTAGACCTTTCCTGCTGAGGTCAAGACCACAGTATGTGATAGGTGCCACTTACTACTGCTTGTAGTATAAAAGGAGTTCTAAAAGTGGGAGGACAATACAGAGATTAGTGTAGTCCTTCTGTAAGGATGGCACAATCTTGTAAAGCATTCCACGTTTAAAAAGCACTAACAAATATTTTCTATTAAACACACACACACTCACACACACACACACACACACACACACACACACACACACACAGGACAAGAGAGCTGACTGGGTATAAAAGAGCATTTGTTGTTGTAACAGAGGACCTGGATTCAGTTTCCAGCTCCCACATGGCAGCTTTGAGGCAGCCGAAATGCCAGGTCCAAGGTTTCCAATGCCCTTTCCTGGCCTCTATAGGCCCTGCATGCACACAGTATACACACCTATGTGTAGGCAAAACACTCAAACATAAAATGAAAATAAGCCACTTTTTAAAATAAAAGGTAAGGAAAGATGTACAGAATTTGAAAAGAAGAAATGAAGTCTTACAGTTGACGTGATCACCCATGTAGACAATCTATACAAATTAAAAAACAGTTCTGAGAATTATTGAGTCTTAGCATGGGTTTCAGGACACAGGGATGAGATAAAACTAGATTTATCATATCACTACATTCCAGCAACAATAAAGAGGGATTTGAATTAGAAGCAACACACTATATATTAGCACTTAGTGAGAAGAAGTAGTTATGTATAAATCTGACAAAATAGGTTGAGATCTGTGTGATGAAAACTACTCTTCTGAAGACAGACATCAAAGACAAATAAGAGCTGTTTCTATTTCTTAGATAGACTCAATATCATCAGGATGTCAGTTTACTTGTTGGTGTTCTAAGTAAAATTTCATTGAGTCTATAGAGTAAAGCTGACATCCTGATGATAGTGAGTCTATCTGTGAAACAGAAACAACTCTTTATAGACTCAATGAAATGTCACTTAGAATACCAACAAGTATCACAAGTCAATTCTAAAGTTTCCATGAACCCAGAAAAACCAGCACAGTGTTGGGGGACAAGAAAGTTGAGGCTATGCTAAATAAGTAATCATTACTATAAAAGCTTCAACAAGCCAATGTGGAGCAGCTACAAAATACAGAAACAGATCAATGGAAAAGAATCTAGAGTAACAAGGCAGGCCATGACACTGTCTGATTATCTTTGAGAAATAAGAAAAGGTGATAGAGTACAAGATAGGAAATATTGTCAACAAATGGCATGAGGATAAATGGATATCTCACTCTAAAATAAATACACATAACAGTTTTATACCCTTAAAACATTGACTGAAAATGAGTCCCATCTCTCAACGTAAAATGTAAAATTAATCTCAGAAGGTTAGCCAGAAGAAATCCGTATGCCATAACTGGCTCTTTATATAGATATATATATATATATAAAAAAACACTATGAAAAAAAAACTAGTCATAAGATATAAAAGCCACTTTTTCCTGCCACCCATAGATAATCCCAGCAAGTAGTGTGTAGAAATTTCAGACTTAATATTGTTTGTACTGTAGGTAAATCTGTAATAACTTTCTGTGTCTTCTTAAAGTTGGCTCTGTACAGAAATGAAACCCCCCTTATCTAAAAAAAATAAGATTATGTTCTTCATGTTACCTGATTTTAAAATGTAAACCTCATTATGAATTCACATCCTTATTTGTATTTTCATTATATTTAAGTTGAGATGTATGCTTGTTTTTGGGCACTGAAAACATTTCATCCCTTTCGGTGTAATAAACATATCCCAAAATGTCAGGTCTTTCTTATGAAATTGAAGTAATTCAACAGAGAAGTTTCTATGTGCAAAAATAGGCTCCTGCATTGTGCTGATGTAAAAGTAAATAGCCATCATAGAGACAGCTTTGTACTAATTAATTATCCTGATGAATTCCTATGACTATGGTATTTACAGTGTCAAAATGCCCAAACTGACAACTGTGTTTACCTTCATCAGGAAACATGATGTTACAATTTAATCTATGTTTTCAAGCTGTATACCAAAAGAAGCCTAACTCTTTCAATTACAAGTAGTGACCAGGATCAAAACCATCCCACAAGTCTGTAGCAAAACTTCTCTTTAATTGAAAACATCAAGGAAGCCAAGATTGTGTTTTTGGAGATTGATATGGCATTTATTTCAGTCTTATCACAAGGCTTTATGATCATAGCTTGTAGGTTGAAAATAAGGACAAAATATCAAATGAGAAAATAAAAACATCTAGATCAAAAGCAAAAGGAAAAAAAGTTGTTTCCATGGACATCAGAGGCCTTCTTTTGCTGGATCTGCTTGCTCCTCCAACTCCAGCAGGCACCTCCCCAAACCCAGCCTGCGGTTACTTTATGGAACACAAACTGCACATGTGATCAGTGTGACAAGGCCACAACTTTTATCAAGAAAGTACAATTTGAAACATCACCTTGGGGTGAGAATATTCTTTCAAAAAGTTTTTTTTTTTTTTTTGAAGTAAAGCAAACCAAAACAGCAACAAAGAAAAACTAATTTTAATAGAAAACAAGCTTGAGATTGTTTTTATGTAGGAAAATTTTACATTTCCTTGAAATTTTACAATGTAATAGGGTTTTACAAGTATAGACATGAGCATGGTTACATGAATGAAGACATGAGCATGGTTGCATGGATGAAGACAAAGGCATGATTGTATGGATGAAGACAAGAACATGGTTGTATGGGCAACTCCCGAAGTTCATTTTCTTTTTCATTCAAATCCCTGGAACCCGAAGTTGGGTTTTCCTCTGTTCTTAATTTTATCCAAGTAGAATACCTCTCCCCTAGACATACAGCACCTAGAGACTATTGTAACCATTGCCATCTGATGGGCCCTTTAAGTAGAGGTCTATAAAGTTTCTGTTGCTTTAGATACACATAAAAATCACCCACAAATAATATTCCTTCATATTTTACTTTTTGCTCTATTCTGTAGACCACATGGTCTGGGCAAACCATGAGCCAGTACCTTGAAGGTTCTAGAATCCCTAAGGGTTAATGACAATATTTCACATTGCATTTGATCATGCATTCTGTTGGAGCCATCCAGACTTGAGGTCAAAGTCTCTGTTGTGTTTTCTTCTCTCCCTTGCCTCATTTTCTCCGTCCTCTTTCCTTATCTCCTTCTCCTCCTATTCTTCCCCTTCCTTCTTCTCTCCCTCCTTTCTCTTATCTTTCCTCTCTTAAAGCCTCTTTCTGCTTTCCTCTAATATCCTTGTCTTTGGCCTTCTCCTCAATGTCTTCCCCTCTCACACCTCTTCCACATATCCTCCATCCTGTAACTTCTGATTCTGATTTAATATCTCATAGGATTGTTTTTTGGACATTTCTTCAGTATTGTCCCAATCCTATAACTACTTTTAGTCAGTGGTAAGATACTGACTTACCTTTCCATTAGAGTTGAAGAAACAAGTGTAAAGTGGATTTAAGAGCTTACTTTGTTCAAGAGCATTGATGGTGTCTCCTAACCTGTGTAATTCTCAGGTGCTGATGCCATGATATTGTAGCACATTAGTAGGCCTTGTTCTCTGAGGCTCAATCGAGTGCCCATTGTGTTTGTAAACTGTATCAGTGCACAGGGAGCAGACATTTATGGGACTTAGCATGATAGTTTAGCACATGGGCACAGTGTACAATGATCACATAAGAGTTCTTACTATGTTCATGTTGTTACATGCCTGTGATTTCTTTGCATGGAGGGCAGTAAGATCCTTTTAAAAGGTTACTTGAAGTTTATGGTTAATTGTTGCACCGTGGTGCTCAGAATATTAGAAGTCTTTCTTTCCTGCAGTCAAAGGACATTCACTCCTGTACCCCTTACCTAGCCAACCTCAATCACAAATCTTTCCTGCAGTCAAAGAACACTCACTACTGTGTCTGTTACCTAGCCAACCTCAAGTCTCCTCCTGGGCCACCACAGCCTCAGTGGCCTCCCTTCTGATTCATCACCTGTATGGCCTGCACATGTCATCGAGGATGTGCCATGGTTGTTGCTCTGTGCTAATTTACTTTAATTAAGAGGAGTCCCACCATGCAGCTGAAAATTATATGATTCCATTCTTGTTGTGGCTGAATATAGTTCCAATGTGTCCATTAACCACACTCTATTTATCTATCTGTATTCTGATGGACAGACATTCATTTTAAATGCTTACCTTAGTGTTTAACATATTGAGAGCACATACTTCACATGACAGTGGCCTCTGTTGCAGTCAGCATGCAACAATAATTATACTTTCCAATGTTTACCTAGCCTGCAACTAACTCCAACATTTATTCTGACATAAGTTTGGTGTATGACTATTGCCAGTAAGGGAACGTTTAAGAGCTCTCCCTCTCCTTCTTTCCCTCCCTCCCTCTCTGCCTCCCTCCTTTTTTCTTTCTTTCTTGTTATCAGTCTTTGAATTGCCATCTAAACTAGGCACACAGGATCAGTGACCAATCCCATTTTCTTTCTCAGGCAGGGAAGTGGCTGTTTTTGTCAGCTCCTCATTAGTGAACAGCTTATACAACACTTACAGCATGGGTATTCAAGAAACAGAATGAGCTTGGTGATCCAACACAGCAAAGCAAAGGAATGTGACTTTGGCTACCAATGCATGGGATGAGAAAAAGGCCATCAAACACTCTCCAAGGTACTGTCCATGAGATTCCTACAAAGAGTAAGATCTATTTATTTCCCAATTCATTTCAAAGTTTGAAACTGTGGGGTGATAGGTTAACATTTTAATAATTCAACACAATTTTAAAGGTTGTTGGAAAATCCTAATCATTCCCTTTTGTGGTTTATACAACAGTCTTAAAGACAAAGTGGTCAGAAGCTCTGAACTTACAAATTTTAATTTTACATTCACTGACAGTGATGGGTACATGAATACAAACAACACAGCTTTGTATTTCTTTTGACATTTTATCATTCCAGTGTGATCGCTGCTCACCTCTTTAGAGTGACAAGCCTTTCCACAGTGGTGATCATGTTTATGCATTCAGCTGTAAACCTTGACAGTGCAACAGCCATGCCAGAAGCTGCCACTATCATGCTTCTATGGACCCATTTCCTCTGGAACACAGCAGAGGCGGGGTAGGAGTCTGTGACAATTGCCAGCATCACACAATAGCTAATCTCAAACCTTGAATGACTGGCTCTGCCTGTGGGGCCATGGGTGTCTTTTTTTTTTTTTTTTTTTCCTATTTGGGAATGAACTGTCATGTTGTTAAGTTTGAAAACTAATGTTCCATCAAACCTCCATTCAGAAATAGTGCTTCATCATGTTTGCAGGACCATGTTCCCCCGAAGGTTTTCCCACCAGTGACCAAACTACTAACTTTGATAGTTTAGTCTACCTAGCTCAGTTTGAATACCCCCTCACAGTAAGTTACTTGTGTCTCTTATATTCTGTCTTCCTTGTGTCTGGTTTCACACATGGGTATGTTATATTTACTCAGACTTTACACAGAAACCAATAATCTTTTTAACACATGATCAATATATGGACCAACATGATGGCTCATAGGAAAAGGAGTTCCCTGGAGAGCTGGAAAACATAAGCTGGATCTTCCAGCCTATAGAGTAGAAGGTGAGGGATGACTCCTGCAAGTTGTCCTCTGACTTCCAGAGGCACACAGTGGTGCACAATGTCCAACACACACTCATACACACACACTCACACAAACACACTCACACAACACTCTCTTTCTCTCTTTCACATACAAACATACACACATACACACACTCTCTCTCTCACGTACAAATACACACACTCACACACACTCACTCAAACACTCATTCACACACACACAAACACACACACACATACTCTCTCTAACACACACACACACACACTGCAAAAAAAAATAGGCCATAAATACAGAAGGTGATTCATATTCTATATAGGTTCTATCATAGCAAGTAATTTCTAGCAGTTATTAAAATCACTGTTTTCTGAATAACAGTATTGACATAGAAGCAGAAGTAAGCAGCCTCAGTGTTTATGAAATATAATGCCAATACAATGGACCCTAAATTGTTATTCTGGGGAATGAGCGAATGAATTACACAGTTACTGGTGACATAAAATAGTATGAGAACCTGATCAGGCATGGGTGCTATGAGGATAATACAAGCAGGTTCCAGAGTAGACATACATATTGAGGAGCCATCAGCACATGCGAATGTCAGTGTTCTAGAAGCATTATGAAGTTATTTAACTTTTAATTAATTAGAAGCTAATATCTATGAGAATGAAAAAATAGTTGATTATCTAGTTTTCTGATATTGTGACCATTTCCAGCATGAACAGAGTGTGTGGATTTTTAATGGGAAGACTGATACCCTAATGGTTTACCTCAGCCTCTGCCCGTGGTTTGGGCACTCCCCACATGGAATCTGTAAATTACTGATAGTATAGGCTCTTATTCATAAGGTGGCAAGAAGAAAGGCTACTCAGTAAACTGAAAGGCATAGGAGCACTAGATATATCAAGCTCTTCTCATACTTAATGCAAGATTATATGGCATGTATAAGTATAGTTAATTTCCTTATTCAGACATTTGAAGTAAAAAGTAATTAGCAGAAGCACTGAAATTTGTTAACTGCACAACAATCCACCATTTTAGCATTCTCCAATTTGCCACAGTTTACTTCTGAAAAATACACCTTTGTAATTTTCATGTGCATCTATGTAATTACATGTATATGTGTGTTGAATCACATGTATACATGTGAAGGCCAGAGGTTACTGTCAACTATCCTCCTCAGCCAACCTCTGCCTTATTTCTCTCTTACTGGAACTCATTCGTTTGGCTGGACTGGCTGGACAGTGAGTCCCAGGGACCCATCCATCACTGGGTAATTGGTGTGTGCCACCCCACGTGCCTGCTGCTTTTGTGCTTGCTGGGCATAGGATTCAAGTCCTTCTGTATATGCAGCAATGACGTTACCAACTTTGCTAGCTCCATGACTCTCAACAGACATTTGTATCATAGCATTGTTGCTTCCTTCCACTGACGGAGATGTCTTCTGTCACCTGTGTAGCAATTCCTCACATTTTGCTTTAGAAATAAGTGCCTGGCCCTAGGAATACAGTTTCAAGTTTAGAGATGGATTCTTTTTAAAATGTCTGCTCCCCTCACAAAGCAAAACTTCTCAGAAGTGTGGTATCGCATACCAGATGGGCATTTAATGGAGTAAAACACCATTTGGAACAGGTTCACTGCTTCATATGCTCCAGATCACTAAATTGGCAGGTAGAGATGAAAGGTGCATTCAAATGGACGTCCCGAAAATTATAGAATTCCCACAAAGGAATACAGTCTTTAATTTTGAATTATGCAGCCAATTGTAATGAATTATTACTCATAATGCATAACCTACCCGACACAGGGAGAAACTGTAAGTCGTGCCAGGATTACTTTTACCGACCCATTGGTGCAGATCCTTCTGCCCTTGATGTCTACAAGCCCTGGGACTGTAACTGTGTGGGTACTAGAAATGGTGACCTCCTCTGTGACCCGTTGAGTTCCTTCAGTCACAGGAAGTAATGGATGGCTCTCCTTAGAGATCAGTTTGGGACAGTCTCACTGGGTCTTCAGCTCTGTATTTCCCAGGATATTCTGAGTTAGCATTCAAAAGACATCTAGGGTAGATAGGACATTGGCAAGTGTCCATCCTGAATGTGAACTGGATGCTGTGTAGTGGTCCTTTTGGAAAAAAAAGGACTTGTTTTTGTTTTAATTTTGACAATGTTGAAAGGAACTGAAGAATGGGAATTCTGTTCAAACTTCAAAGTAGTGAAGCATTTTTTAAAAATTATAAATAAGGTACATTAATCCCAAAGGCAATAGAAGATAGTACTGCAAAAGCTATTTGCCTGAAGACCCAAATGGAAGTCATGGTGTTTCCCTGAATGTAAGTGCCTCATTTCTACCTACCTGGTTGTTCCCAATACAATATTTAGTTTATATTCTTCAAATATGTTTATTGCCTATGTTCCTTATTTTGATGTGTGACTTACATGAATCTAGACCTTCACTAACCTGGGTGAAGTCCTACTTCTTGCCAATAGCTCTGTGTTAAAGTGGCACATCATTATCTCTAGTTTTGACTTGTCACCATCATATCAACAAATGACTTCAGATAAAGGGAAATAAGTCTTATGAAGCTAACAAAATTATTTTTATAATGCATGCATATTATTTTGAACAGTTGAGAACATAAAGGTTAGGTCAATAACCCAGTTGTGGAACATAAGTCCCCTGCATCCCATTTAAAAAAAATCCTTTGTTCTTCTATACTATGAGACTCTGTTAAATTGTATCAAATTGTGGTCTAAGCTATGGCCTCAATAGTGAGGGCATCCCTTAAGTTTCATTTTCTTAAATGGAAAAATAAAGAAATATAAAATGTGGCTAGAACCTGAAGATAGAGTTACAACTACACAAACAGAGATACAGATTATTACAGTGTTCAATAAATCACCAATGGAGAGCTACATGAGTGCCAGGACAGAAAGATAAAGCTAAGCAATGCTAGACACAAGCGAAAAGGATTGAGGAGCAACATGGAATGGGAATGTATCAGTATAGACCAAACAGATGTAAGAAATAAACCCAAAATTTCTTAGCAAACCAGACAGATTTAAAATGCCCAAAATGAGAAGAAAATACATTTTTATACCTATGTAAAATCCTATTTCCTGCACCAAATACTACTAATGGCCCAAATATGTATATTTAAATAACCCTATCTGTAGGAAATAGTAACAGAATGGAAACAATAGTTCTCTAAATAGAGATTTGATTTAACATTACTGTGTGTCCCTCTGTCCTTAATGAGTACCTGAGATTCAGATTACTACCTTGTTTAATATCTAGCAGTTTGTGTATTTTAAAAAGAGTTTTCAAGTGTTTCATCCATTTATATCTTTCTTACTTCAGAAAGACAATTTACTCTTATGAGTGTAATTTGTATTCCAACTCAGTTACCGAAAGACATGATAAGCAGGCTGTCTCCTGTGTAAGTTGAAAACAACTTTTTTTTTTTCACTTTTACTAAAACAGAACTTATCTTTGTGTGTCTAAAGTCTTATATGTTCCTTATCTTTAATCCTAAGGAAAACTATAATCATAACCATTTGTCTTCAACTCTATCAAAGACCACAGAAGGATAATATATAAATGCTAGAAATGACAGAGACAACTCACTGCCTGGTCAGTCACCTGAAGTTCTTCTGTAATGTTCCATCTTCAGCCCATAGGTCAGACACCTCAGCAAAGAAGGAAAGTTTACACTGTCTTCTTGTATTGGCAGTTTGCCAGTCACTTTTCTCTGTGTCCTGCAGACTGTCTGGCAGATTCTTCCATGTAGCAATGTCCATCATGTATAAACAGTCACTTTTCTGTGGGTCCTGCATGTCCAGTTTATACAGCATAAAGTCAAACAGTCCAGACAAGAGCAGTATTTTGCCTAAATGGCTAGTCTTGTCATTTTGGAAGCAAACTCCATACGTATTTCTTCAATGTCCATCTTCCTTTCTGATGCAGGTGGTATTGCCAGGAGGAATTGTGCTTCACTGTCAAGAAAAACCTTAAGCCATTTTAAATGCCATATTCTGTAGGTATTTGAAAGGTTTGAAGAATGCCTATTCATCTTAAATACACCTCTATATATCTAGAAATCCTAAACTTAACTATAAGTTTTGACTATCATAGGTAACTATCTAAAATCTGTACTAAGTTATACATTACATTTCTAAATGAGCTATATAAACAAAATACCTAAATGAGGATAAATATATTTAATTGACCTTAAATTATATCAATAAATGAAAATCCATTCCAACACAAAATATTCATATTTATACCATAATCCCCTTTTTACCTTTAAAAAGAGATTGGTTGTTGTCATTAACCATTTGTAACCAACCCCATTTAAAAGAAAACAAACATTTATAAACAATATTTGGGAATTTTTGCATCGTTTTTTCCAAACTGCTTCCTGCTGGTAGGGGACGCTGTCATGGGAATCCTAAGAAGACCCAGATATTTTGGCTGTAGTCTGAAAGGCTACTATATCCCAACTGTTTTGAATGTTGGATCACCTGTGACTCTGTTTCAGGGGGTCTGCCTTCATCAAACAACATTAGTCTGGAAGGAATCCATAGCTTTTCATTTTCTGTGGAAACAAAAATAGAAATCCTTTTCCCCAGTAACTTGTCCTTAGACTTAAATTTTGAAGTCAAAGCATTTTTAAAATATATAAATTGGATTGATCCAGCAGCATTTGTTTTAACAGTTGTTATTTCCTCAGCAGTCAAATGATACAAAGACAATATAATACCGTACAGTATCCAGATTCTCTCCATCTTTACTGGCTTTTTTATTACTGTTATTTTACTTTTTATTTTTTATTTATTTATTTATTTTTTTTTGAGACAGGGTTTCTCTGTGTAACTTTTATCTGTCCTGGAATTCACTCTGCATACCAGGTTTACTTTGCAATCAAAGAGATCTGCTTGCCTCTGTCTGGGATTAAAGGTGTGTGCCACCACACCCAGCTTCTTGCTGTCTCTTTAAAACCATTTTATTCCTTTTTTCTCCCAAGCCTACATATATTTTAGAATATACTGTAAACTTTTAGTGCTTTTTTCTTAATGTGAATCTGTCTTTACTGTAAATCTTTATCTTTTCTGGCCACGAGTCTTTATCTGGTAAACAACAACATTGCTAAAATGAAAGTCATAGCTGTGTTAGCCGCGGTATATCCAAGATGGCTGCAGGTACTGTAAGACCCGCGGAGGGCATGGACCCTCACACCCCGACTCAGGAAAGACGCCCCCCCCCAAATCACTCATGAGAAGTGGTCTTGATGCATGAGGTCTTTTATATTCCAGTGCACTGGGGTCTGCAGCCATACTCCACATGGGGTAGAGGACTGGGAACCCTGGGTACAGGGTTCAGAAAGCTTTTATAGGGTTACAACAAAGCCCGTACATTACAAACCAATCATCTTAATAGCATCCAGTGTGGACCAATCAATTTGAACTATCCAAGCCCGCGCTTAGCCCAGGAAGTCTACTTTCGCTAGGGCTTCTGGGTAGTGTGGCACGGCTCATTTCCTGTTCTTATTCACTCACAGGTGCTGTTGGTAAACCCACCCTGTTGTGAACAGTCAAGAATGACCTTTTTCCTACTCACTGCTAGGGGGCAGAGTCAAGGGAAAATTAAGCTAAATTTTTCCATCCTTACAGTACTTTTACTGCCAGAACTGAGAGCTGTGCTCACTGCCTTTGTCTACGCTGCACCCAGCAACATGTTGCCGGCTTGGAAATGTGGTCACTGCCATTGCCAGCTCTCACACACACCATTTAGTTGCGAGTACAGCTTTTTAAAAGCCTTGAGGTTTTTGCTGCTTATGCTGAGTCAAGAAATCTCCCTTAAAGGAGCCGCGCAAATCTCTGCTTGAATCTAGCAAAACAGAGTCCAACCGAGAAAAATGCTGTTAGCAAGAAGCTTTGCTTGTCTTTGTTCTTTTGTTCCTAAAACCCTTTTTTAAGCTTTTGTTAAATCTTAAGTGGAAGTTCTTATTACCCACTTGCTGCACCATATTGTTGTAAGTAGATTTTCCCTGCCTTCCTGAACCCACAGCAGCGCCAGCCCCAGCCCCAATTAACACATAGAGACTCTGTATTAGATATAATTCTTTTGGTCTATTACTTGTTTCTTGTCGGCTAGCTCTGTCTTAAGTATTAACCCATTTCTATTAATCTAAGTATTTCCATGTGGTCTTACCAGAGAGAGGGGAACGACATTCTGCTCTCTCCAATCTCTCCATGTTGATCCTTTTTACTACTTCCTCGAATCCTCCTTGTCTCCTAGTCCCACCTATCTTGCTTTCCTATTGGCCAACAGTGCTTTATTCATTAAGCAGTATGAAAAACATATTTAAAGAATGACATCTCCCATCAACTTATAACATCTTATATTTTATAGAATAAAACACTATTTTGTTGGTAACTCCTGTATCAATTTTCAGCAAACCCCTAGCCCAAGTTCTAGTGTAACATCTAGATGACATTTGCAATATAAGTGCTGTAAGTTTACACTATGACATATTTTACATGCACCTAAAGATCCAAGTAACAGTTTGAAATCTGATTAAAATAAACAGAATCCAGTAGGAGAAAAGAAAGCCCAAGATGATCTGATATGAAATGGGAGCCATTGAGAGGCAGAAAGACTGTAACTTCACCATTTCCTCTTAAAGCCACTCAGTGCATTAGCACTGCCGGAACCAGCAGCATGCAGCTCTCCCAGGCTGAGCAGATCACCATCTTCTGCTGTGGCTTCCTGTGAACAGATGAGAATTTTCTTGGAGACCGCCATGGGGAAGTCTGAACGTTCAGAGGGAAGGGCTTTTGCAGAAGTGTCTTTTCAGTGGAGAAGGAAGGGCACCATGGAAACCCACCAGGATGACAAGTGTCAAGCACTGTAGAACAGAAAAGCAAGGCACA